GCCTATATTGGCGAATAACTGGTCTCGTGCGAAGTACATGGCCCACCACCTTTGTTCATATTACGTCCTATGTACGAAGACTTTCCGGGCATGACCACTACAAATACACATTCCAAGAGACTACAAGCCTATCTGCAGAAATCCCGCCTCCCTTCATGTGCATTTAAACCTTAAATACTACTACACGATTTTATAATCGACAATAACTCACACGTGATTTCTTTTCCTTCGCACTACAGCCCCAGTCGGCCTAGGACTACCTCCATTATATTCTCTGTTCACTTCGGTAAATTACTCGTGGTACTACACATAATTTATATATATATATATATAAAACATTTTCACCAAGACAGGTATATTAACTCTACAATCCACAAAATAAACCATCAAAACTAATTATAAACCAGAAATCCTACCAATCAGGTAAATAATTTATAAATCTTCCTACACGTACCTTACTTGTCGAACGCCATTTACAAAAGAAATATATTGCTATACAAGCATTCACCACGTTTATAACCCCGGAAGTAATACCAATTGAAAGTCAAATGTGTTCTTATATTCATATTTTACTTTTATTATAAAAGATTGAAAATTTAGCAAATTTTAAGTGACGCCTAAAGTTGCGATAAAATACTCATTTTTGTTAATCAGGTTTTGTAAATAAGGAATGCAAGGTTTCTTATTTGCATTGTTAAACTATAATTAAATTTTAATGAAACTGGAGGCTATATTGAATAGCAAGTTTATTTCCGCACCGTGATGGCAATTAGGTTCTCGTATTCTGTTATGAGAATAGCGATCATAGTGATGTCCTAAATACTATTTAGCACCTGTTCACTTCCTTTATCATCCTACTACCTGGATGCGGTATCGCCATTTTCGAAGCTTAATGGCAGGCGATGGCAGGTATGAGAAGGATCCTAAGTTCGCTCAGTGGTTACGTTTAGTACTGCCATCGACTGCCATCTGGTGGAATCCTCCTAAACTAACAACACGTACAATGTCAGACAAAATATAAACTGATTTAAATCACCATAACATATACAAACTAAACTGCAAATATATTTAAAAGTTACCAAATTTCTATATGAGACAAATTCCGTCTTAAGTGCAACAATTTTATTCTAGTTCTTTCTTCTTCCCTTCCTCCACACTACATGTTTCGGCCCTAAATGGCCATCATCAGGTGTGTATTCTTACGTAGCTGCTATACTGCCCGTAGTTTAAAATTTAAAATCACCAGTCTTTCCAATTGTATGTATGTATAAAATCTTTGTTAACCTACACGCGTCAATTTGATTTCTAAAACTGGCACTTTTTTAAAACTTCAATTCAAATTAAAATGTCTATAAATTTTGTTCTTTTT